AGTTTAATAACTATCATAGATTAAAACACACAAGACACTTGAAATCTGTAAGTTTACACTGATACTCAAACACACTCAAACACATCACTGGACCACCTCTGGAAGACTCCAGGAAGCAAGCTAATTGTTTTCAATGCTGGTAAAGGCATTAACCCTTCTTTTTTCTCTATCTTTTCCTATACACCCTGTATCTCAGGATAATAAAATAGTTGATGAAGGAATATTTTTCTTTATAGAAATATCCTAGCAAATAAATAAAGGAAGAATGATAAAATTACAATTTCACATTTTGTAACCAACAATGAAATAATGAATCTAGTTAAGTACAAATGCCTAGTAGCACCAGACACCAGCAATGAAGGGTCTTCTGATAGAAATATACCACACTGCTCTCTATAAAGCATTCTTGTCAAAGAAGTATCTTATGCATGTGTGTGAATGTGTGCATTCTGAACCTGAATCAGATCAAAATTCTAGCTCTAACTACCAGTCTGCTGAGGAGCAAGTGACAATAAATCGCAGATTGTAGAATTTGCACAGGATAAATGATCCAATTTTTCAACAAATAAACAGCAAGGAAGGAAAAAAATATACACATAAGAAACCTAGAGTAACAGGTGTCTTTGATCTGTGCTGCTATAGCAGAATACCTAAAGCAGCACAGAACAAAGACACCTACACCTGTTAGTCTAGGCAACAGGGTACAGTATACGATTCGGTATTCTGTTATAGCAGCACAGAACAAAGATACCTGTTACTCTAGGTAACAGGGTTATGTATAGCTTTATTTGGTTCTGCAGACTGAGAAGTCCATAATCTTGGCACTAAAACCTGGCAAGGGCCTTCCAGATGTGTCATCTGTCCATGGCCGAAGGCAGAAGTCCCAAAGAGGGCAAAAGTGAGCAAGAGGGCAAGCTAGCTTTTATAACAAGTCCACTCTCATCATAACTAACCAATTTCCATAATAACATCATTAATGCAAACATGAGAGCAGAGCTCTCACAACCAAATCACCATTTAAATGTCCCACCTCCCAACACTTTGCATTGGGGATTAAGTTTATTTCTTTTTCTTTTTCTTCTTCGAGAGTCTCACTATGTCACCCTGGGTCAAGTGCCGTGGCATCACAGCTCATGGCAACCTCAAACTCTTGGGCTTAAGCAATTCTCTTTCCTCAGTCTCCCAAGTATCTGGAACTACAGGTGCCCACCACAATGCCCAGCTATTTTTTGGTTGTAGTTGTCATCATTGTTTGGCGGGCCCAGCTGGATCCAAACCTGCCAGCTCTGTTGTATGTGGCTGGCGTACCAGCCACTGAGCTACAGCCTCCAAGTCAGGGATTAAGTTTGTAATACATGAACGCTAGGGGACATGTTCAAACCACAGCAACAGGACATATCAATTAATGGCCATTCATGAACCTAATTTGAACAAACAATAAATCAATCAATTAAAAATATGTATGATATGTCTGTGATCACCTGGGAAGGTTTTTCTAAATTGAGTCTCTGAACTACCATTATCTTCAAAGATTGAAGGAATTGTGTCATACCCCTCAGGACTGCAGCAGTGGGGAAAAGAAGTTGAGAATTGCTGTGTAAATACCTTAAAGACAAGGACTATACATTATCAGCCTAGTATTTATGTAAATGCCTATACTTCAAAGGTACTTAAGAAATATCTTTGGTGAATCAATGATGACCCAGGACTATATCAATAAATAGGCAAGCTTAATAATAGCTAATTGCTAGATGTGCAAAAAATGTCATTAATATTTGATATTTTCTTTAAAAAAATCTCTTAGGTTACTGGGTTTAAAGAGCATAGTTTTGTGCTGTCAGTGGAATATTTTCCTTTACGAAGTCACTGATCAGTCACTTCAAACAGCTACAAGTAAACATCTAGAATAAAAATAGTTTTAAATTGGGTGGGGTGTGGCTATCAAATATTCTGATTCTACAATCTGTCTTGGATGAGACAGTGCTTCTTATGTAACTAACAAAGCAAACAGCAGTCAGATTCCTTGTGCTAAAATATGTACACTATTTGCAAAAGGGGGTGAACATCCAAGGTTTATCCAATTAAGACACCACCTTTTCCAAAACTTAAGGGGAATAGATAATGACAAATACTCACATATATTTATACACCCCCAAAAGAAGGCAGGCATACAACCACCTGGTATGGATTTTTTGTGTTTTGGGCTCTAACAGTACTGAAAGAAGCCAAGCCTACCATCTAACCCCGAAAGCAGCAGAATACCTCAGCATGATAATAATTTAATTTTAAAAGTTGGCAACAGCTTAGAAATCACCTAACCCAAACTTTTCATCGTGCTGATGAAAAAAGAGAAGAAGCTCTGAATATTGCTGCAATAGCCACAGATGAACAAATGGTCTACACAAATGCATTAGTGCTAGGTACAGAGAACTGAGAATTAATCTTCTGAATGTTCTCATAAATAACTCATATATAACTCCTAAATAAATGCATAGGAGTATACATGTATATGTATGTGACTACTAAAATGCGTGTTTCTAAAAATTCCTTTCAAAGCAAATTCAACTAGTATTCAAAAGCATCCATAATGTCATCTCATCTACTTTTTCAAAATCTTATCCAAATCAACCATAAGGAAATGGAAGTCCGCTGTTCTCTCTCTTACATCTTTTGTGGTCTCTTACAGATAACAGCAGAGCACATACAGGGTCCGGAAAAAGTTGTGCCCTTATGTGCTTGAGTGTGATATTGTTGTGTTACCAAATCACGTGTTTATGATTCTGTAATAAAAGACTGATATAGATAATTGGCTCACAAAAGGAGCCATTATTAGTAATTCGCATTGTTTGCATATGTAATTCTGTAACATAACAATGTCACACTTGTGCACAAAAGAGAATTACTTCTGGAAGGCACAGCATTATAATTATAAAAGCTATTCCATATATAATTTCCAAATGATGAAACGATTACAATATAAACTTTCCAATTCTCCCGTTAATCTGAACTGATATAAAAGGCATATTTTTCAAGTATGGGTGGTATGTAGAGAGATACATGACTCTGTAGATTTTTAAATGTGACCATTAACAAAAGGCTTAAAAGTAAGAGGAGAAAAAGCGACACTGAGATTAGTTATATGAGGCTTATTATACAAACCCAGAAAACTGCCTATAAAGAGAAAGAAAAAGAAAAAGGGCAAGCCTTTATATCATTCACCAAACATTCAATTATTGATTAATAATCAATCTATACTACTTTAAATCTATGGAGATACAAAAATGATATCTGCATGCTCATGTGTGGGATTCTCATTCTCAACCAGTTTACCTGTATAGTCAATTTGATTTAGATTTGCAATTATGAAATTAAGTAACAAAACTTGGGCTCTCAACATCCTGCACTCATTAGATTTTTTATAGGATCTTGAAAACTAATTTTAAAATTCTCCTCATATTGTTAAAGAGAACCTAACTACTGAAACTGACAATATTAACATTTACTTCCACCTTTGGGGAAATTTTTTTCTAATTGGGATGATTCAAGATCCCCAAAGCAAACTGCAAAGTAATCCCAATATTTTTTAAAGCTGAAAGCAATGTTTTCAGAAAAACATTTTTTCTTCTGAAGTTAACACAGCAATCTTATGTAAATAAACATGAGATTTATCAAGTTAAGGAATTTTTGCAGACTCTATTGCAACTCTAAAGTAAAATCAAAATTTAAGCAAGAAAATCTGCAGCCATTCACAGTATGTGAATAAAGAATTAAATCCTTCAGGGTACTACCAAATTCACAGATGTCCTGCCTCTGTCTGAAAAACTTAAAATATTTAATGTGCAAAAATTTTAAATATTTAATATGCTAAATCATACTTTAAATTTCTCTTACTAACATCTGAAGGCTTACACTAAAATTCTGATGTGCAAATGGCATACCTACATTTTCACCATTTTGATTCTTTCAAGATTAAAAATAAGACTTGGGATTAAGTTATTTTCATCAAGATTTAGAAACATTAATGGACACATTAATGGCTTTAGATAATAATTGAAGTATTTAGATGATGGTTTAAATCCCTCCAAGAGAATTCTTTATATGTACTACCACATATTCTCAACCAAGTAACACAAGAGTGTGTTTTTTCAAAAATAAAAATGGGATATGATCATCTCATCATGAACCAGCCTAAACATGAGAGTAATAATAGCTAAAAAAGAAAACACAGAAAAAGATGGTACATGGTTAAAACTATTAATATGTATTTAAGACAAAGAATTTATTTTTTCAGTAAGAAAACAAGGAAAAAGAGAGCCTAACCTGATCTGTGTGCCTGGCCCAAGAGAAGTTCCACCATAATTAGTGTTTGCCACCTCTAAAGGGAGGAGCTTAAATTCAGGGTAACCTTATGTAGTAAGGGAGAAGCAGTATAAATAAGGCAGGGCAGCTCTGGAGAGGCACCTTCTGCACTGCTCACCTGGGCAGTGAAGGCCTCAGAAAGCTGCCAAGACACCATCTCCAGGAACCTAGCACCCAGGTAAGTCCATAAACTGATGTGGGCTGGTGGACTCCATGTTAGCTTGCTTGAAAACAAGCTTCCGTAAATTAACTGTTTGGGTTTCCTTTGTGAATTAAAAAAAAGAGTTTCCACTAAAATATACTCATAATTCTTATTTCTGTCTATATAAGTAGTTCTAATAAAATCATATTTTACAAATTTGCCTTAATCTGAATTTCAGTCCATTTTGAAACTACTGGATATTTCATGCCATGTCAAAGTTCCTAGAGATGGCCAATAATAATTTGTTTCTTTTTTTTTGGTAAATCGCTGTATTTTTACTTGATTACTTGAATGTGGCTTCATATATTCACATAAATAAAAATATTATCTCACATTAATGTATGGCATATATTCAAAATATGTAGGAGAGAGTAAAAAAGTAGATAACTGTATAAAGAACTCATCTATACAAAATTAGTATAATAAAACAGGTCCCTAACAAAGCTGTATAAAATTGTTCTTTTCTGTTTTTCAGAATCCACCAGAGAATATGCTGCCACGAATAGCCTTTTTGCTGCTAATGTCCTTGAACTTGGTTCAGTGCTTTTATGATCAAGAATCTGAAACATCCAAAGACATAAAAGGAACAGTACTCAACACCAAGACACACGTAGTCATTCCCTACACCATAAAGACTAAAGGTAAACCAAATTGTTTATTTTGCTCTATTAACCAGTTGATTGATGCTTTTAACATCATAAATTATTTTCAAACTCCTTGATCAGTTCAAATTATTACAATAAGGTAATTTGTGAAAAAGTAGATCTATTCCTTTGGAAAAAACAAAATAAGAAGAAGTTAACTGATCAGAGTATTCTATAATAGACATACTCCTATCTAACAATGTGAATGTTACTTTCTTTGCATTATTATTATTATTGCTTGATATTTCATTGCAGCAATCATCTGATTTCATTTCTGAATGTATTATCTTTATTCGTTCTTTATGAGGTTTTTGTTCTCAGTCCTTATGTTAAACATTGTTATTGTTATTAAATTTAGCCTTTTTAATTCTGTGAAGGCAAAAGTGGAAACCTCATATACACATGTATAAGTAAGAAAAAAAAAGTAGGTCTATTCAAGAACATTAATATCCTTTGCAAAATAAGTACAGCAGAAAGTATACACCTGAAAGTCTAGTAAAAAGATAAACCTGAAGAATATTAAGAATTTTTATATGTAGAGACTTATTTCTTTAAATAATGTTTTTACACAAATAACCACACATAATCTGGAAATATTAATATAATCAAAACTAATCAAGTATACAAATTTTAAAGTAAAAATAATTGCCAATTGTACAAAGATCTAAATATTTAAACATTTACTTTTAAAGAGCATTCAGCTAGCCTATAAATAAACACAAAACTGAGTCTATCAAATAAGTTTATTGGGGAGGGGGGCAGCAACTAATAGAGAAATGAAGCAACATTCTCATAATCACTTACATACTTTTAATATCATTTAGGGTTATAATGCAGAAACTTAACTGCCACATATAGGCTGTGTGACCTTGGGCGAGTTGTTTATCCTCTCTGTGCCTTAGTTTCCTCAAGTGTAAAACAAGGAACAGTAATGTCAAGGGGCTGTCCTGAAGACGAAATGAGTTAATACCTATGGAGTGCTTGAAGTGCTGCTGTTCCTAGTATTACTGATACTGCTTCCTACTTCTATTACTTGTCATTCTATTTTTACTCCTACAACCTCACTGCTGTAGCCTTAGGTAAATGTTTTTGTTGTTTTTTTTTTTTTTTTTGGCCGAGGCTGGGTTTGAACCCACCACCTCTGGCATATGGGGCCGACGCCCTACTCCTTGAGCCACAGGCGCTGCCTGCCTTAGGTAAATTTTAATTTTCTCCTTGAATCTACTCCTCATCTGCCCAGTTTTCTTGGTTACTGTGAAAGGTATTAAGATGATACAGGTGAGGACTAAGACTAAGAGATTCTCAGATCAGGGCAATGTCCACACCTCATACTCACTAATTCTATTTAATACCATCTGACAGGCTTGGCACCTGTAGCTCAGTGGCTAGGGCGCTGGCCACATACATGGGAGCTGGCAGGTTCGAACTCGGCCCTGGCCTGCCAAACAACAATGACAACTGCAACAAAAAGATAACAGATGCCTGTAGTCCCAGCTACTTGGGAGGCTGAGGCAAGAGAATCGCTTAAGCCCAAGAGTTTGAGGTTGCTGTGAGCTGTGACACCACAGCACTCTACCAAGGGTGACATAGTAAGACTGTCTCAAAAATAATAATAATACCATCTGACACAAACTGTCTACAAAACATCTACTAAATGATATGAACACATTGTGGGCTTCAAATTTCCTTTCCACAATAGTTTTCACTTTAGCTATATATTTTATCATGTAAATAAAACCACAGGTATTTGTCATATACTTTAAATACTAGGCTTTTGAGAAAAACCATTTGAGCACATGAAACTTGTAAGATTGTCATTTTAAGAAGAAAGGTAAAATTTAGAATATTTTACAAAAGGTACAGATCCTCTTGAATGTCTCACAATATAAACTGAAATAAATATAAAAGCTAAGAAAGAAAAAAATAGAAAAGAAACTTTACCTGAAGGCTACAAATGCAATCTGTAATGCTGTAACAAGCAGCACAGAATTCAACAATCTCCATGACCATAAACTCAGACTTTTTTATACCATACCAAGATCCTAATAAATAGTCTTGAATTAAAAATATAATACATCACATTTATAAGGTTAAAAACATTTCTATCTTCCCCCCTTAACATACTGCATCATTTTGGTTATTTTTACAGCACAAACGAAAATATCTTAACAAATGAAAAGTTCAAAAGCTGAATCTATTAGTCTTGGTCTCTTTTTGATAATGCAAGGTAGAAACTCAAATACAGTATCACCTCCTGGTAGGCATGAACGCATTGAATGAAACACAAAAGCCCACAGATAATACAAGCAAAACATTAAGGTGATGACAGAAATTCAAAGAGTTCCTATATAATTCCTAGGCATATCTTAACATAGACTAAAAGAGAATTCAACCAAAGCACACTAAATTATGTTGCAGAGGATGGCACAGCTAGCAAGCAGACACAGGTACCACCACAGTCTGACACATACGACCACTGTTTCAGTTTGAGCCACTTATAAAACTTAATAATAGGAATTCATTTTTCCTTGAGGATGGTGCTGTACTAATCTTGAATGAATGAATTTTTTTTTTCAAATAACAAGCTACAAACAGGGGCTGTCCCTCAAGGATTCACCAGAACTCAAACTATCTCTTGCACTGAGAAATTAAGGACCCAGGGCAATATTCCAAGCCACAAAGATAACCCTGACGTTGGACTTCCAGCCTCAAACGGTGCCCAGTGCAGCTGCTGTCACTGACTTGTTTTTCCTAATTAACAGTAAAACAGATTTCCAGTCACATTAAGATAATTATTTTTAGTATGAACATGATCCTTACAATCAGATTCTGATGCAAACCTCAATCTTACATGGTTTGTATTTTTTTAAACATTCTATTTTGTTCCAAACCATTAAGAAGATATGCCTTATTTATTCATTCTATTTGCAAAGTATCAATATTCATTCATATATATACATTTATCATGTACGTACACTAAAGTCAATAAGATGTGTTTTAACATATGGAAATCTTTTTAAAAAAGTAATTTTTCTCAGTTTTTTTTTCCTGTTTTTTTTAAAGTCCATATGAAAGTTCTATATGTTTAAATGTTTACAAACTGAAAAATAACTCTAATTAGTATAAGATAAAAGGGTACCTAAATCTAAAGCAATTTTTTTCCTATTTCAGCTATATATTTAATGATTTGCTCTGTATTTTATATACAGCAAATGTTTTTCAAATCTCAGGGACATCTTTACCAAGAGAGTAATGCTACCAACTACTGTTGGCTGACTTCTTTTTGTGTGCCAATTAATATGATAGACTGTTTTATTTTAACACTATGTGTCCCAACAACAAATGGTTAAAGGGAACTATACTCATAAAAATGTGTTTTCAAGAGCAATTTGTACTTCATTTCAATTAATTTACTATTAATTCCCTTGTAGTCTTCATTTTGATTTTTTAAACCATAACAGATTTAGTTACAGTTTAACCTCCCTCCCCCACCACCAAAAAATGAAGCTCAAAAGTCATGCTATAAGTCATTTTCAGGGTTGTGCCTAAACTATTCAACTACTATGAGATCTACTAAATCTATATGACTATGAACCACGTTCCAACAGTATAAGAATCTAAACAATATAAGCAGACATTCTACTATGCTTCTGAAATTTATTAAAAAGAAAATGATTTATTAAAATTTTTCTAGTAGATATTAAAAATTATATAATTTTATTATCTTTACTATTAAAGAATTTCTCTGAAAAATAAAGAAAAATTTCATGTAGATGCTTATTATAATTAATGCAAAAGACTGACCGGATAATACTTCCCTAAAAGTATGACATAATGCCTGTGATGCCTGTTACATCCCACCTTTGAATGATCAAACTGGCCTCTGGACACCTCTTCAAGTTCTTATCACAGGCATATTTATTTTACTCTGTGACTAAAACCCTTGTAGGACATGTCCTGTGCTTTCTCCACACCTGTGGCCCAATAGCATTTTTCATATCACAAGCACTAAATATGTGATTTTTGAATTTAAGTTTATCATTACGTATCTGGTTAAATGAATGCATAGCTCTATGAAATCAAGCAATATTTATTTGTAATTAGATAAGCACTTTACGACTATTTTATGTACCTTACCCATTATTTCTAATTCTCTTTAATTCTTTGTTTCAAGTTTAAAAATGGGGAGTATATTGACTTAAACTTGAAATGTACAGAGAGGTTAAAAAAAAAAAGCAACGTAAATCTAAACTGTATTCAGCTAGGCAGATATAAATTAGAACTAATTCCATTTCTCATTTATTTCTGATACGACGGCTTTGTGAGGGAAAATTTAGTTCCTAAACATTTTCTTGCTTATTCTGTACTTGTCTTTTCTGCCTTTTCTGTGCAATAGCTTTTTTTCCTTTCTGTTCTAGGTAATTTTCCCAAAATAAATGTGATAGATTTACCTCCCCTACCATCTGATTTCTAGAGGAATTACTCAGCTTATCTTCATGGTTCATTAAGATGTGATGAAAATATTATGGTAGCCATGGTTTTCTGAAACTATCTTCTCTAGTAGTTGTTTTTTTAAACAATGCAAAATGTATCATCTAAAACCATTTCAGAAATGATCTGCCTACATGGATTCAATGACAATGCAATGTCCTGTCCCAATTCCTATTTTGAGAAGCAACAATTATCTTTAACATTACTAACCATCCCCCTCTCTGGGTGGGTATGTTGGGTGTGTCTTTTAGGTATACCAATAAAAGGAGAGAAAGGTGCTGCTGGTCTACCAGGCCCTGCTGGACCTCGAGGGCATCCAGGTCCTTCTGGACCACCAGGAAAACCAGGCTATGGAAGTCCTGGACAGCAAGGAGAGCCAGGGCCGCAAGGACCACCAGGACCACCAGGCACTGGGAAGCCAGGTTTGCCAGGATTTCCAGGAAAACCAGGGGGGAGAGGACCATACGGACCAAAAGGAGACATTGGACCAGCTGGTTTTCAAGGACCACGAGGCCCACCAGGGCCACGAGGAATCCCTGGCCCAGCTGGACTCTCTGTGACAGGAAAACCTGGAGAACAGGGACCTGAAGGAGCCCCGGGCCCCAGAGGCTATCCTGGAGAAAAGGGTATACCAGGGAACCCTGGTGTGAGTGGACGGAAAGGGGATATGGGGTATGGCGTTCCTGGCCACCCAGGTGAGAGGGGCCTTCCAGGCCGACAGGGTCCCATGGGACCACCTGGCCCTATTGGAGTAGGAAAAAAAGGTGAAACTGGGTTTCCAGGAGAGCCAGGCATCAAAGGAGATCAGGGTTTCCCAGGAGAAAAGGGACGAGATGGTCTACCAGGTCCCCGAGGTCCTCCTGGGGAACGAGGACCAGCATGTATTGGAAAGCCAGGAATTGAAGGACCCCCAGGCCACCCAGGGATTCCAGGAACAAAAGGTTTCTCTGGGGCTCCAGGAATAGCTGGGCCCCCAGGGGAGCCTGGCTATGGGAAACCAGGCTTGCCAGGACTGAAGGGACAAAGAGGACCTGCTGGCTTTACAGGGGCTCCAGGCGCCAAAGGTGAACAAGGGCCAGTAGGTCATCCTGGGGAGCCAGGTCTGACTGGACCTCCTGGAAATATGGGACCCCAAGGTCCAAAAGGCATCCAGGGCAACTATGGTATTCCAGGTGCTAAAGGTGAGAGTGGGCCAATTGGGCCTTTCGGACTCCCTGGGGCTAAGGGTGAAAGGGGCTTCCCTGGGTTAGATGGAAAACCAGGGTTCCCAGGAGAACCAGGTCTCAGTGGCCCTAAAGGTAATCCAGGGTTAATGGGCCCAAAAGGTGACTCTGGAGTTAGAGGACCTCCTGGTCTCCCAGGCTCTATAGGCCCAGAAGGAGCTAAGGGAGTGCCTGGAAAAAATGGTGAGGTTGGTCCCAGAGGGGAGCCTGGAATACCAGGCGCCAGAGGCCTTATTGGGCCACCAGGCACTTCTGGATTCCCTGGAGCTAAAGGGGATCCAGGAAATCCAGGTCTACCTGGCCCAGCTAGCATACCAATTAAGGGCCCCCCAGGACCCCCTGGGCTACCAGGGCCAGCAGGGCCAAGAGGCTACAATGGACAGCCTGGTGTCCCAGGGCCCCCAGGCCCCCCAGGCCCCCCAGGCTCCCCAGGCCCAGCAGCTGTGCCTAAGGTGCTTATAAAGGCAAACCAGATGCCTTCTCTTTCTGGGATATCTCTTAGTGCCAAACAGGGAATACCTGCATCTGCTTTTACTGTTATTCTCTCCAAAGCTTACCCAGCAACAGGTACTCCCATCCCATTTGATAAGATTTTGTATAACAGGCAACAGCATTATGACCCAAGAACTGGAATCTTTACCTGTAAGATACCAGGAATATACTATTTCTCCTACCATGTGCATGTGAAAGGGACTCACGTTTGGGTAGGCCTGTATAAGAACGGCACCCCCATGATGTACACCTATGAAGAATATACCAAAGGCTACTTAGATCAGGCTTCAGGGAGCGCCATAATTGATCTCACAGAAAATGACCAGGTGTGGCTCCAGCTGCCCAATGCGGACTCAAATGGCCTGTACTCTTCTGACTATGTCCACTCCTCTTTCACAGGATTCTTAGTGACTCCGATGTGAGCACATTCCCATTGAGCTAATTTAAATCCTCTGCTTGAAAAGGCATTTCCCCAACTCCATCCCACCCCACAAAATGCATATGGAGGTAGGCTGAAAAGAATATGATTTTTATTTCCAAGCTATCAGATCAATAATTTCCCTTCCCTTTGAAAGTGACCAGCAATACTAGACCATATAAGAAGACCCTCTTGAATCACTAGTCAGCAATCCTATGGCCCTTAAAATATTCTGTGAACTCCCTTAATATTTAAAAATTTCACCACGTAAGTCTTGCTGAGCTAATATATATATAACTACCACATATATATATAACTACCACAAAAAAACCAAATATGGCTCTAAATTACATAAAATTTGATTTCAGAAACTCAGGATTTCCTTATAAAATAAGGCTGTTTCTAACACCCAATATGAGACTTTCTAGGAAATAATCAAGAGGCAGTATCGTATAACTTTATAGAACTTAAATACTTGAATATTCAAATTTAAAAAACACTGTATACCCTGAGATATTTCTGATGGTGCATTATTCAGAGATCTATATAGTCCCTTTCCAATCAAGATCTGTTCAACTCTATGGGTAGAGATATACTTTTTAAAGCTCTCATAAACACCCAAAATATTGTGTTTAAAAATTAATATGAAATGCAAGGTGCTTTATAGTCAATGAACCTTTCCTGTGATTGCAGAGAAACTTTCTATATACCCAGACAACTTGGAAACAAGTATCTGACCTTATTTATTTTAACACAGTGTGACTAATTGGATTTAATTCCTTACTGAATCTTATGTGAGATGATTTTGTGGGTTTGTAGAACATTGGCATAGGTACCTTCTGCCTCCCACTTCAGTGAAATTATTCAGTTTCACACCAAGGGTTTCAAACTTTGACTAGAAGTAAAAAGATATTATTTATTTATGCTCTGTACTGTATTTTTATATTGCTGTTTAAAACTTTCAAGCTGTGCCTCACTTATTAAAGCATGAAATGTTTTATCTACTACTTATTTACAATGCAATAAAATAACATCAATAGACTTTCATGCTGGATTTATTTGAAAACAGCATTTCATGCTGGATTTATTTGAAAACAGCAATTTGTTCTTTTCAACCATTCTTTTAAGGGTTTTCATTTTACAAAATTAATTACAAAGTAAAACAATAAAATGTTGGGTGGCTTTTATAGTTGTCATGGATCTGTCCTTCCAATGGGGTTGGGCATTCCCACACACCCAAGCATTCCGTGTAGACTCACAAGGGACCCACAGAGCCACAAGTGATGAGCTAGAGTCAAGAGCTAAGGACCAGGCCCAAAGCAGTGATTTTCTTCTAGAAGGGAAAGCAGTGGGTGGCACAGAAATATGTAGTTTCAGCAAGTATCCTGTAGTTACTACTTATTGTCTTGACACGTTTTTAGTCATAATACTTAATATTATTTTGATGGCTTGAATTATACATGAAAAGGAAGGCGAGTAATTTTTATGTCAATCAAAAGGCAACATTTTTTGAAGCTAAAAAATACTGCTGTTGAGTATCCATCAAGCCATTAGCTGAACCAGGATGATCTGTTTTAAGTCATTGGAGTAAAATACCATAGAGACATCTTTTTATTCCCTACAAGCAACTTTGTGTAACTCAAAAAAAGCTGTGAATGAAAAGGTAAAACCCTAGGCTCAAGGCTCGTGGTATCTCTGTTCCCATTCTGGGTCAGCCAGTCCTGTTCCTTAAGCTTAATAAGAATGAAATTTCCTCTGGCAGACAATGCCCACCTGTCTAAAACTAACTACGCTAACATTTACAAGTGTCACCAACCCTTAATGCCCAAGCCTGGCAAACAGCAAAGCTGGAACTGCAATTCTGGGGAACCCACAGAACAACCCTATTGGCAAACATTTTTATAAAAGACACTTTAACAGCAACTTGGAATAATGGCAATTTTGGCCATGAAACAGACATGAACAAAAGAACCTCTTACAACGTAAGCAGAACCAACTTTACAGTTTCTTATGACTGTAATTAAGATCAAATTACAGTCAAAAATAGGCAACTTCCAACTACTCCACTAGACACACAATAGTTAAAAAATATCTATTAGGAAGTCCTTCTTCATATTACTCACCCTTAAAAGCTGACATTTTATAATTATGTTGTATACCAGCAACAATATCCTTCCAAAAATCAAATGTTTTTTGACCATTGTTCTGCTGGAAAACAAAATTGCAAATGTAACACATGCAATACTTCTGTTTTCAAATATAGTGAAAAATGCTGGCAAACAACTAACTACACAGACAGTCCCCAACTTAAGATGGTTCACACAAGATTTTTTGACTTTACTAGTATAGTATGAAAGTGATAGATTCAGTAGAAACCCACACAATCATTATGTTTTTTTGTTTTCTTTCATTCTTTTTTTTTTTTATTCAGTCTCATTTTGTCACTTGGTAGACTGCCCTGTCATTACAGCTCATAGCAACCTCAAACTCTTGACTCAAGCTATTCTCCTGCCTCAGCCTCCCAAGTAGCTGGGACTATAGGTGCCCATCATAACACCTCGCTATTTTTAGAGATGGGGGTCTTGCTCTTGCTCAGGCTAGTCTCAAACTGTGAGCTCAAGTGATTCACCCGCCTCAGCCTCCCAGAGTGCTAGGATTACAGGTGTGTGCCACTGTGCGCAGCCACGTCTTTCATTTTTAGCATAGGATTCAATAAACTGCATGAGATATTCAACACTTTATTATAAAGTAGACTTTGTGTTAAATGATTTAGCCCAACTATAGGTTAATGTGCAACTGTTCTGAGAACATTTAAGGAAGGCTAGGCTAAGCTATGTTTGGTGGGTTAGACATATTAAATTCATTTCCAACTTACAGATACCTTTAACTTACAATGGGGTTACTGGGAGGCAACCCCACCAAAAGTAAAGAAGCATCTGCATTATTATATTCTAAGACGGAATATATGTTTTAGAAAACATAATAGAACTCTACTAATAGAGTTCTCATTCTCCTGAAGGTGACCTCACGTTTTTATTTTGTTTGTTTGGAGACAGAGTCTCACTCTGTTGCCCAGGCTAGAGTGCCGTGGCATCAGCCTAGTTCAAAGCAACCTTAAACTCCTGGGCTTAGGTGATCCTCCTCCTTTAGCCACCCATGCAGCTGAGACTACAGGTATGTGCCACCACACCCAGCTAATTTTTTGTGTTTTAGTAGAGATAGGGTCTTGCACTTGCTCAGACTGGTCTCACACTTCTGAATTCAAGGGATCCTCCTACTTCAGCCTCCCAGAGTGCTAGGATTACAAGCATTACTAAAAGTGACTTTAAAAAGAGAAATCTTCTACAAAAATTGCTGCTATATATGCACATATATATCACTAAATGTTAACATAGTTCACATAGCCCAAATTAAATAAAAATTTCCACTCGAAGTCTAAATATTATAGAAAATTTTGAATATATAAGGAAACTTATAATGTTATATAATTTCTGATATGTTAGCATGTGTTACTTAACATTCTAGGGCATCAATGGGGCTAAAGAGCCTACAATCATAAAGCCCCAGAAGCTGGGGGTTTTAAAATTCAGGGTACTCTTAGTCTGAACTTCAATCGTCAAGAGTAGCAAGTCTATCAGTGAGATAAATGAGGCTCTAAATCCAAAATGTAAATCATGTTTAATGTTTTTTAAACCAGAAAGCAAATAAACATTATGTTGAAACACAAAACTCTATAACCCACTGCTTCCTTGGAAACATTAACCAGTGTCCTTCTATCTAAATAAAGACAGACTACCGGATATTTCTATCTAATTATACAAAGTCTCTAATACTTACACATACATTTTGCTTGGAGTAACAACAAAATGAAAAACTGACTCCATCTTGTGTTAATAAAGACTTCTACAAACATACCCAAACTACTGCTCAACAGAAACTTTTCACAAACACATGGATATAATTCTGATTCGAATAAACCATTATCTGTGCTCTATTATAAACATGGTAACAGTGATTTTAAAAAACAACACATGTAAAACGGAAAGGGATTCTGACAGGTAAAACCCACTTATGCTTATAGCTCTTAAGTTTCAAATATGAACTATTACATTGTATCAGAGATCTATTCAATCTGTATATACAGTATGAAGGGAAAGCCTATATGCATTAACCTATGTTCAAAATAATTAATTTAAAAATTTTAATCTCATTTTTCTGGTTTATTATTTGGAATGCGTATACATGTGGAATTTTCTGAATTACTTTTGTTATTTTATTCTGTTAGTGAAACTATTTATTTTGCTAAAGAAAATATTTTTTCCAGATTCAAGTGCTGATTATGTATTTTCCTTTTCTAGACTTTCGCACCCCCTACTGGAGAATAGGTTTATTTTCCCTGGGGAAAAAAAAAAACCACTGCTATTTAATTTTCCAAAAATACTTTCACCAAATTCACCATGTTTTTCCTTTCCCGTCACCTCTGAAACCACAAAGAAGAACCTAGCTAAAACCTCAATTTGAAAGTTACATATATTTAAGTCCTCTGACTTATGACTAAATACATATCATAGTTCTAAAACATGAGTCTCTACTTACCTTTGTTAGTAAGTCCACCACCCTGGCACATAGAAGAGCTCCTGGCAGGTCAAAATAATTATCATAAAAATAGTACTTTCCTAAAAAAGAAAAAAATTATAATTTTAAACTGGGAACAAATTAATACATCATGTTCGTGAAAAACACAGAAACGTGGCTGACAAGACATTAGGTTTTGGTTTAATTATCTGAAGAACCCTCTTTTTCAGTTAAAAATGGCACATCATGCTGGGTGCGGTGGGATTCATGCATGTTAATCCTAACACTCTGGGAGGCTGAGGCAGGTAGCTTGCTTGAGCTCAGGAGTTCGAGACCAGCCTAAGCAAGAGTTAGACCTGCCTCTACTAAAAATAGAAAAACTAGCCAGATGCTGTGGCACATGCCTGTAATCTTGGCTACTCAAGTGCCTGAGACAAAAGGATTGCTAAAGCCCAACAGTTTGAGGTTCCTATGAGTTATGATGCCACAGCACTCTACCCAAGGCGACAGAGTGAGAGGCTGTCTCAAAAAAAAGGGGGAGAGGTACATCATCTTTTAAGAAAGGTTTAAAGCTTTGAGGGTATTACAAGAAAGTTAGACTATAATATATGTAAGTCAAGCATTTTATTCAAAAATATTCTAGGGAGGCGCCTGTGGCTCAAAGGAGTAGGGCGCTGGCCCCATATGCCAGAGGTGGTAGGTTCAAACCTAGCCCCAGCCAAAAAGTGCAAAAAAAAAAAAAAAAAAAAAAAAATCTAGGCTTGGCACCCATAGCTCAGTGGTTATGGTGCCAGCCACATGCACTGAGGCTGGTGGGTTCAAACTCAGCCTGGGCCAGCTAAGCAACAATGACAACTGCAACAAAAAAATAGCCAGATGTTGTGGTGGGCGCCTGTAGTCCCAGCTACTTGGTAGGCTGAGGCAAGAGACTGGCTTAAGCCCAAGAGTTTGAGGTTGCTGTGAGCTGTGATGTCACAGCATTCTACTAAGAGCAACACAGTGAGACTCTGTCTCAAAAAGGAAATAAGAAATACTCTACTTGTCTTTAAAAAAATACATACAAACTAAAACCAGAATATGCCCCAACTGTAATAGGGAATGTGAAAAAACCAAATGCATGTCATCAAAGTCACTGGATTTCAAAATCACCTGCCCCTGGAGTACCGTGAAGCACCCCACACAACAGTTTAGCCTTTTCATAATGTGCTGATTAGCCCCACCTACAGTATCGCATTTGATTTTTATGCCACTAGAGATAAACTTCAGTACAGGATGAGAACAATGGAGTGATGAAAGGATAATAAGCATGCATGTGGGGTCACAGTGGCAGATCTTCGAAAAACTCAAGAGTACAGGACAGATATATTTTAGGATCTCATAGAAGAGAGGGATTTGATTTCTTACATATAACCTCAACTAACAGGTCAAGAGCTTGCCTCCTGGAACAACAACTCTAGGAGGTATTCTCTGTGCTTCTCCTCACAAGTCTGGGTGGAATCCAGCCCCTGTTGCTCCTTCCTTCCTTCCGTCACCCCTCTCATCAGCTCACTCCTGCTCACTGAGATCAAAAGTAACCACTCCACTTTTGGAAGAACCCAAACCCTAGGGAACTCTGGGTACAAAGAAGAATCAAACAGAACTGATAGGTTGAGCCAGTTTTAGTTTAATAATAAGAAAGTATTTTCATATGGTCATAACTATTCTTGAGCACATTATGACAACTGCCTGATTCTGAGTTTCTGTCCTTTCATTTATAAGCCATGGATCTGAGGTTATGGAATACATTTGTCTTGTTCCTTAAGGGTCCACTAGGCATACTGTCCAGAATATTATAAGTGCTCAACAAATGTTTGTTAAATGATAATAATTGAATGGCTTACTTTGGAATGAGATAATATAAGCATATTAGGAAACAATCATTTTCAGAAGCCAGGGGGGTCTATCTCTCTGAATATCATTTAGTGCCTTTTGTCTCACCCTGTCAACATATTGAAAATGTATAAAAAATAAAGTCAAAGTTAATTCTAAATATGGCTGTACAGTTTTGTGTCCTTTCTCTCAGTTGAAAATATTTTGGTTGACTTGGTCTTATCTTTTTTTCTTTCATAACTTAAATTATTGGGGAAATATCTCAGACTGTTTCTTCTTTTTAAGAAAGGTATGGTAGCTTTGCTGTGAAAAACCAGTGACCTGGAAGAAAAGAGAGATGGCAACTTGTGTGCATTTCTGCCTACACAGTCCTAGGCCATTAAGACCACATAACACTCTAGGACTCCCAAGACCTAGCACAGTGGACAAAGCTTTCCAAAGTTTAATAATCTGCACTTGATCTTATCTCCTGGCCTGACATTATAGTGACTTGCTTGAACCTGATTCCTAGCTGTCCTGGGCACTGCTGGAGCAGGAAGTATTTCATCAAGCCCAGTGAGACATCCTTGCTTTTCTCCTCCCATTCTCCCTTTCCCTGGTGAAACTCAATCTAAGAGTTGAAATGTTATGAGTCATGGTTGGGGTCTAATCACATAATTCAGGTTTGAGGAGGTTAATCAGAAGGACCCACTGGTTCCTGCCTACAAGGCAAGAGGATGATGTCACCTGACCATCATACTTGGGCTGAATGTCCATGGTGGGGACATAAGGATAGCTTGTTCAGCCTTGAGCTATTAAACGGGGCAGCCTGTGCCCAATGCCTCTCCCAATACCCAAATTCCTGGACTGCGCCACATGAAATCCTTAATCTCCATCTCCTCATACACTAGAGAGCTCATTGTGAATGAAATGATGAGTGAGTTCAGTTCCGTGAAACAAGCCTCTGAATCAAAACCAAGTCCTTTAACCATGAAGCTTTATACACAGAAAAACTATTCCCTAAGAACCCAGTGCCAATCCTATTCCCTCTGTCTTAGTGAAAATGGAACAAAGGTACATGAGTGACTGAGGGGAAAACAACAGTTTATGTCAGCAAGGTTCTCACTTCTACAGATAAGCAGTATCATCTCCTGTTAAAGAAAAGAAAACTGATGCTGAAAGTGGCTTAGTAACTGACCAGAGTCCCTTTATCCCGCACTATCTAGAACCAACTAGGACCATCTGGCATCAAGTCCCTCGTGACTTCACTATACTGAACTGTTTCGACATGATCTACCATTAAGGGAAAATAGCTCAAAACAACGTTCTAAAGATTGGTCGGCAAGGGAAACCATCCTCGGGTCAGGCCAACCATCTGAAAAGATATTATCAAATAAATTGTCCCTAAAAATTTCTATAACCATCAATGCTTTATATTTCCTAACTATACTGGCAGGGAATGTACCTGTACCTATATATAGACTATAACTCTGTACCTAACTCTGAGGATTAATACATTTAATATAGAAGGAGCTACAGAAACAGAAGTGGAGTTCCTAGAAATAAAGGCCTTGTTTGCCAATACATATACAAAATTTTAAACCTGTATGTCCTTAGAGCAAGTTATTTCTAGGAATTTATTCTGGATATAAACATTGCCTCAGGCTTGTTTGTAAAAGCAAAACGCCAGATGCAGTTTAAATGTCCACTGCAAGGGGAATGATAAAATAAATCAGGATACAGGCCCGGGACAGCAGAGCAGGCCAGCATTTAAAAGAATGAGATACACCTGTGTTAGTGCTGCTCCAGGCTCTCCAAGCTATAAACTTAAAAAAGCAAAGTACATACATGGTCTCTTTTGTCTACTTTTCAAAATTAAGCTTTGGAGAAAGGGCATTCTGGGATATAAGAGTCAGAGACAGTTATTCTTCCTTCTTTTCATTTCTACAATAAGGAGAATTCTAGAAACACAGGAGTGGTAGGTAATGAGAATGTGGAGTGAAGTGGAAGGTGGAGAAGGGAAAGCCTGAGCAGGTACCAAACTGATAAAGAATACAGGACAGTAGAGGAATGTGTTATTCCTGAGCGTTAATATCCACTCCAGAACAAGTACAAGTAAAAGGAGCATCAACAAAGCCTTGGGACTTTTTAATGATCCAAAAGTCCTAAAACAACAAATGCTGCCATGGATGCAGAGATAGCAGACCAATACACGTTGGTGGGATAGAAAGTAGTCTGGAGACCCCACAAAGAACTAAAACTAGATCTACCATTTAACCCAGAGATTCCACTACTGGGTATTTACCCAAAGGAAAAAAAAAAAAACCAAACCACATTTTATGAAAAGGACACACACATTTGAATGTTTACAGCAGCACAATTCACAATTGAAAAGATGGGGAAACCACCCAAGTGCCCATCAATACATGAGTGGTGTGGCAGCACCCATAGTTCAGTGTGTAGGTGCTGGCCACACACACTGAGGCTGGCAGGTTCAAATCCGGCCCAGGCCAGCTAAAACAACAATGACAACTGCAACAACAACAATAAAAAAAATAGCCAGGCATTGTGAAGGGCCCCTGTAGCCCAGCTACCTGGGAGGCTGAGGCAAGAGAAATGCTTAAGCCTAAGAGTTTGAGGTTGCAGTAAGCTGTGATGCCACGGCACTCTACCCAGGGTGACAGCTTGAGACTCCATCTCAAAAAAAATAATAAATAAAATAACACGAGTGGTGTAATACAATATGGTACATGCATACCATGGAGTGCGACTCAGCCAAAAAAAAAAAAAATGAACACAAATACCTCTTGTATTAACCTGATATGCTTAGAACTGGAGATCATTTTTTTAAGTATCACAAGAATGGAAAAACACTGGCTTGGTACCCATAGCACAGTGGTTATGGGCCAGCCACATACACTAAGGCTGGCAAGTTCGAATCCAGCCTGGCCCAGCTAAACAACAATGACAACTACAACAACAACAACAACAACAAAAATAGCCAGGCATTGTGGTGGGCACCTGAAGTCCCAGCTACTTGGAAGGCTGAGGCAAGAGAATCGCTTAAGCCCAAGAGTTGGAGGTTGCTGTGAGCTGTGACACCAGGGCACCCTACTGAGGGTGACATAGTAAGACTCTGTCTCAAAACAAACAAACAAAAGATGGAGAAACAAAAGCCACTTGTACTCACTATTACATTGGAACTAACAATCAATACTTCTGTGCACATACAGAAATAACACTTATCAAAAACCAAGCAGGTGGTGGGGGTGGGGGGTAAATTCACACCTAACAGGTGCAGTGTCCACTGTCTAGGTGATAGGCACGCTTGTAACTGAGACCTAAAATTATTCTTTTTTAAACAAAAACAACGTACATAATCAAGTGGCTTCAAGTGGCATTTTTACCATGTAATATTCTGAAATTAAAAAAAAAAAACAAACACCAAAACCTTAAATAAGGCAATGTGAAAAGGCTAGCAGCACTTTGAACCAGTTGCCTTTTGAAAGACACATCTGTTAAAAAAAAATACATCCCAACATCACTCCCTTGTGCATCCTGCCCAGCAAAGGGCAAGGAGGGCGTGTCTTCTTTGCGTCCTCATGTAGAAGGTTCAGGGTCTAAAACAAAAGGGGAGTGGGCAGCAGAGCTGGCCCCTGGAGCCATACCTGAGCGGCAAACCATTCCCGTGTCCGATACGAAGTGCTTCCACTCCTCCTTGCCATAGGCCGCTGACAGGGCTTCGGCAGTCATCATCTTGGTGCCGTGGCTCGCCCTGGTTTCGGAAGATGACGCACATTGTTTACCAACAGTTCCCTTCCCTAGCATTGCAACTAGTGATCCCCACTGCCACCAAAGCGAGCACAGATTTTTTTTCCTTTCTGTTTTCCATTGGGTAATTTCCCCATTTAAGGTTCATTCTATATGGCATTGTCTATGGACAATTCCAGCTTTTCTTCCCTTTAAACCACCAACTTGCCAGTGACAAGGAGATGCCCACTCTGAGGTCAACACTGGATAAGACACCACCATTTCCTGTTGAAGTTGTCATTTATTTTTAAAATTTTTTTATTTAGGGGCTTTTTGATACATAGATGAACTGTGTACTGGTGAAGTTAGGGGTTTCAGTGTATACGCCACTAAAATAGAACAAATTGTGCCCAGTAGTTAATTTTTGATTCCTTATGCCCCCTCCTACCCTTCTCTTTTCTGAGTCTCCAAAGTTCATTACAGCACTCTGTGTGACCATGTATACCTTTCATTTAGCTCCTGCTTATAAGTGAGTATGTGCAGACTTTGCTTTTCCATTCCTAAGAGACATCACTGAGGGTAATAGCCTCTAGTTCCATTTAAGTTGTTGCAAAAGACAATATTTCCTTCTTTTTCCGGCTGTGTATTCCATGGTGTCTGTGTGTGTGTGTATACACACATATACACACCACATTTTCTTTATTATCAGCTGTTGGGCACTTAATATTGATTCCTTATCTTTGCAATTTTGTGCTGTGATAAACATCAAAGTGCATGTGTCTTTTTGATATAATGACTTCTTTTCCTTTGAGTGGGTCCCTAGAAGTGGCATTGCTGGACCAAATGATAGGTCTTCTTTTAGTTCTTTGACGAAGCTCCACACTGTTTTCCATAGAGTTGGACTAATTTACTTTCCCTCCAACAAGGAGTATAATGATTGTACAAGCCCTCCTTTTTCATTCCATCTGTACTCCATCTATTGTTTTCTGACTTTTTAATAATGGCCATTCTGACAGGTGTAAGGTGGTCTTTCATTGTGGTTTTAATTTGCATTTCTCTAATGATTGGTACGTTGAGCACTTTTTCATGTTTGTTGGCCAACTGTATATTTTCTTTTGAAAAATGTCTGTTCCCGTGTTTTGGTCACTTTTATTTTGAGACAGTCTTGCTGTCAGCCAAGCATGCCACAGCCTCAGCCTAGCTCACAGCAACCTCAAACTCCTGAACTCAGGCAATCCTCCTACCTCAGCCTCCCGAATAGCTGGGACTACAGGTTTGAGTGATGCCCAGCTAACTTTTCTCAATTTAGTAGAGATGGGGATCTCACTTTGCTGATCTCAAACTCCTGACTTCCAGTGATGCTCCCACCTTGGCCTCCTAAAGTGCTAGGATTACAGGTGTGAACCACTACTCCCAGATTTTGCCTTCATTTTAATGGAGTTGTTTTTTTTTTTTTTTTATTGCTGATTTGAGTTTCTTGTAAATTCTTGAAATTAGTTTTCTGTCAGATCTATGGTTAACAAATATTTTCTCTCATTCTGTAGGTTGTCTATTTGATTATTTCTTTTGGGGTGCAGAAACTTTTTATTGTAAGTAAGATCCATTTATTTATATTTTTGTTGTATTTGCTTTGGGGGTCTTAGTCATAAATTCTTTGTCCAGGCTAATATCCAGAAGAGTTTTTACTAAATTACCTTCTATAATTTTTGTAGTGTCAGTTCTTACAGTTTAGTCTTTAATCCATCTTGAGTTAATTTTTGCATATAGTGAGAGCCAGGGATCCAGTTTCATTCCTCCGCATGCAGCTCTCCAATTCTCTCAGCACAATTTATAGAACTGGGCATCCTCTTCCCAGTTTATGTTATTGTCTGCTTTGTTGAAGATCAGGGGGTTGTAGTTTTATAGTTTTATTTCTGGGTTCTCTATGCTGTTCCATTGACTTATGTGTCCACTTTTATACCAGTGTCACGCTGTTTTAGTTACTTTTAGCCTTGCAGTATAATCTAATGGCAGGTAATGCGATACCTCCAGATTTGTTCTTTTTGCTTATGATTGCTTTGGCTATTTGGGTTCTTTTTTGATTCTACATGAAATTTAGAATTTGTTTTTACTAATTCTGTGAAAAGTGATGTTGGTATTTTGACAGGAATTGCATCAAATCTGTAAATTACTGTGGGCAGTAAGGACATTTTAACAATATTGCTTCTTCTGATCCATTAGCATGGGATATTTTTCCATTTGTTAGTGTCATCTACAATTTCTTTCATTAGTGTTTTGTAGTTCTCCCTTTGGAAAGCTTTCAATTCCTTGCTTAAGTAATTTCTAGGTTTTCTTTTCTTTCTTTCTTTTTTTTTTTTTTTTTTGGCAGCTATTGTGAATGGTATTGAGTTCTTGATTTGATTCTCAGCTTGACTATTAATAATATATAGAAATGCTATTAATTTCTGTACACTGATTCTATAACCCGAGACTTTACTGAGTTTATCAATTCTAGGAGTCTTTAGAGTTTTCTAGACCATTTAGCCATACAGATAAGATTAACATAACTAGAACAATTAGAAAACCACCAGGTGGGTGTGGTGGGGAGCTGGTTCTGGCCACATTACAGAAAGAGCAACAGATTCCAGAGCTAGAAAGTGAGCTGCAGCAGGCCCACAGGACACATGGAGGCACCTCGCACTTGAGGGCACATGACCATGAATACACGGAGACTGCAAAGACAAAATGGGCAGCCCCGTGCCCACTCTCAACAGACATACCACAGTTCAAACTACACAGGGTACTGGCCAAAGGAAAGTGACCAAAAAACCCAATAGGATGAAAAAGTAGCCATTTTCTGGGCTCAGAATACTGCTTTTCCATCAGTTAGGCCTGGTTAAGAGAGTCTTACCTTGGAGAGAAAGAAATACAGCAATCCCTCCCTAATTCATGCTTTTCTTTTCTGCAGTTTCCTTTACCCATGGCCAACCCATGGTCCAAAAATATTAAATGGGAAATTCCAGAAATAAACAACCCATAAGTTTTAAAGTGTGCATCCCCCCTCTGAGTATTGTTATGATTGTTCTATTCTGTTATTAGTTATTTTTAACCTCTTACTGTACCTAATTTATGAATTAAACTTTATCACAGGTATGCGTGTATAGGAAAAAGCATAGTTTAACGTATACATAGTACAATAGAGAGCAGTACTATTGGCAGTTTCAGGCATCCACTGAGGATCTTGGAACATATTCCCCTCAGATCAGGTGAGACTACTGTAGCTGACATCTTATACAGTTTATTGTGAAAAATTACAATGACAGGGAGTATTGTTAGTATTCTCTTGGTATATATATTATGGATACAAAATAATATGAAGGAAAAAAGAAATGAAATAAGAAAAGCAAATGGAGAGCTGGAAATCACAAACAGGCTCCTTTTTATAAAAAGGTTAACATGTATAAAGCTATACCTAAAGATGGGGAATACCATCAGACAAGGAACCTACTATAGTGGTTGAAAGAAGGCATCAAAGAAATAAGCTGGCTCAGCACCTGTGGCTCAAGTGGCTACTGCGCCAGCCACATACACCTAAGGTAGTGGGTTCAAATCCAGATTGGGCCCGCCAAACAACAATGACGGCTGCAACCAAAAAATAGCCAGGCATTGTGGCGGGTGCCTGTGGTCCCAACTACTTGGGAGGTTGAGGCAGGAGACTCGCTTGAGCCCAGGAGTTGGAGGTTGCTGTGAGCTGTGATGCCACAGCACTCTACCCAGGGGGACAGCTTGAGGCTCTATCTAAAAAAAAAAAAAAGGAAATAAGCTATTAAAATTCAGGAGAAACTGCAGAGCTAGAATGGACAGGGTAGACCTTCAGGGTGAGGTGGTGGGAAGGGGCAGACAGACAGAACAACGGGAGAAAGAAACAAAATTGTGGAATGCTTTTCATTTTTTTAACCACAGGTGACAATAGCCAAGTATGCTATAAGAATCTTAGAGCACAGTCGAAGGACACAGTCAAAGTGGCATTGTATGTGTATACATACGAGTACACACACGTGAGCGTGCACACACACACAGACACACACTTGATCTCTAGTTGCCTGAGGGAAGAAAAGTGCCAAGAAATTACAAAATAATCAAAAGTGGCACCGCACTTGCTCTAGTCAGATGCAGCTTAGGGGATGGTCTGGGGGACAGTGTGAAGGGAGTTTACATCATGCAAAAAGAATAAGGTATGAAAATAGAGAATATATGTAAGAATCAACCATTTTTTTTTTAATTAAATGACAGCTGTGTACATTAATGCAATCGTGGGGTATAGTGTGGTGTTTTCATATACAATTTGAAATATTTTCATCAAACTGGTTAACTTAGCCTTCAGGTCATTTTCTTAGCTATTGTGTTAAGACATTTATATTCTACTTTTAGAAAGATTCACTTGTACCCTTGTAAGATAAACCATAGAGGTGATCCCTTGAATCACCCTCCCTCCACCAAGAATCAACCTCTGCTGAGAGTCTTCCTGATTCTGACTGTGTTTGTATAAATAATAAACGGCAGGGCTTCATGGCCATGTTGACTTGCTTGAACTATTCGTACTGAGGATAAAACAGATGCTCACTCCCTGGAACCCTCTGAACGACACAAAGCAGCACAGCAGTTGCTTCGGACTGCTTGTCGTACCTTCCCAGCACGTGGAAGGTTGGGCCCACTTGGAGAGAAGGGAAGGAAAGAACAACAGCATTGAGTGTAGGAAAGATTGGTGAGATTGGAACAGTCTAGAAGGTGCTAAGACACATGAGCCCTGTACGATGGAGGAGAATTCGGATAAACAGGAAAAAGAAAGATATGCACAGATAAACAACACAATCACACCCATTCTTTCCTTTCTCCTTAATAGAAAGAACCCTGATTTTATTCTAGGCACCTACTTACTCAGCTAAAAATATAATTCCCCGGGTCTTCTGCAATAAGGAGTGGTCAATGAATAGAAGCAAGTTCTTAACTTTCTATTGTATTTCCTGCAAATATTTCTAATGAGCTAAATTTAAAGGAACTAGACCTTTAAATCTGATCATCACAGGTTTGTATTTAATGGTTTACACAATTCATATGAAGATTTGTAGTTAGATAACTTAACACAGTTCATACAAAGACATGCAGTTACAAGATAATCTGTCACCTCAGTCACTAAAATAATCTTATTTAACCCACACCTTAAGGGTGAAATGCTACAAAGTAATCTAGTATCCTGGAGGACGTAAAGTTTTGATTTTACAACTAAAATCTGATTACCTGAGCACAGTGCCATTATCTGCAAGTTTAATGAAGTTCCCATCTTCTAGATCCAGTGCTAAACCCTTGCAACTGAAATAGAAAAGTTTGATTGTCAATCAGTTCCTATCAACAGCCAACCTAAGAAGGAATAATCTAAAGTTTTTAAAAGTCACAATGCTGAAAAATGATTCCCCCATGCAGCTGAATGATGTATTAACTACACAAATAAGAATACCCAAGAACTGTAAAAGTAAATATCCACCCCACAGCAGGTAAACGGGTATGTGGGCAAACAAAGGGCAGCATGCTTAGCTTGTGAAATCCTGAGGCCTTCAAAAAGAAGAATCTCAAAGAAAAAAAAAAAGCAAAACATCAGCCTGTGCCTCTTTTAAAATGTGCAAATGATTGCCATTAAATAAGACACAACCACACGTACACACTTATATTCTACAAGGGCTTAGCCAGAGTCTTTTCTATATTCTTTAGATTTCTGCCTCAATGTAGGTCAGGTTAGGAGAACTTGCCCTGTGGGCAAAGCATATTAAAGCATATTATTGAAAACCACTAAAATAAAGTCAAATGCCAAGTTGTAGATTCTTCACTAGAAAAGACTTGTGGGATTTGAGGAGAAGAGTACAGATTTATTACTAAGAATAACAAAAGCAAAGAGGTTTAATGGCCACTAAATACCAAGGGAGTTTAAAACAATGACCGGGTACTTTAGAAGCATCATTTACTTTTGTACACCATATTATTTCCAGAGTCAGTATTCGTATAGCAAAATGGTTCTGTTTCTTTCATTTATAAAAGGGAAACATCAAAAAAGACTAAATATTGGAATACCAGATGAACATTGTATTTTCTTTTTTTTTAATTTATTATTTTTTTATTAGATCATAATTGTGTACATTAATTCTATCATAGGATACAGTGTGTTGCTTCCATATGCAGTTTGGAAAACTCTCACCCAATTGGCTAACATAGCCATCATGTCTATCTCATAATTGTTGTGTTCAGACATTTATGCATGTATTTTCATATATTTTAGGATTACAGTTGAATGGCTTAGGATTTTTGTTCTTTAAATGAAGAAGACAGATAAAGGAAGCTTTAGGATGTTGAAATCCTAAACTAAGCAGGGAGTATACATACCAGACTTAGACAAGAATGTCTATCCAAATTACAGAAAACCTCATGTCCTGATTCAGACACTTACTCAGAACACCCATGAAGATTCCACCTTTTCTCTTATAGTTCTTAATTTGAAGGGTAATACTGTTTTTCTTAAAGATGTAAATTTTAGAGACAGTTCTAAATCCCTGAAATGCCTAATCATGACAAGATTAAGTCATATAAAAATATCCAAGTTAGTCACGTACATTCATAGCTTATTTTTACATTTAATTAAGCACGTGCAAACTTGTGTAAAGCAGCAAAGACTTTCAATCCATTAAATACAAAACTTGTAGTACTGAAGACCTCTTGTCTTTTGATTCAATTTCACATTTCATGTTCTACCTTCGCGGAAGAGGGAAGCATTAAAATGTTATCAGAAAGTAACATAGGGAACGTGTGGACCTTAAAAAAAAAATAAAAGAACTTACCAGAAGTCCCAATCCTCTGGGGTCACATTGAGCAATTCCTTATCATACCCTCTCTCCTTAACTAGGAACTGAGCAAAGCTATTATAAATGAGCTGAAAATAAGGGGAAGGAAAAAAAAGATTAAAAATAAAACTCACTGTTCGTTCTCAATTTCACAGACCTGAAAACCTAATGGAATCCCTGGATAGGGAAAGGAGGAAGGAAATATACGTAGTTGATCTGTTTAATCCCCCTTCGCAAAGAAACTTTACCCCTGCGAGCCCCAGGCAGTTGTCCTGTCCACAGGACAAACCACGGACAATTACTGATCCTTCTCCCAAATTCTAATGGGCTGGAGATCGTAATTCAAGACTTGACAAAGCTTTGTAAACTTACTTAACATATCACTAAAACAATTAACCTGTTCCCCATTCTACCATTACATCCATCCTTGGTCCATCCTTGCTAGAAAAGGCCCCACCTCTGGGGAGCCTCAAGGTGAAATATGTGTGGGGACCGGGAAGGTGATATAGAGGAGGAAATCTTGAAGCCTCTATCAGATATCTCTTATTTCTCCACCAAAACATCTCAGGAAAAAGAACAAAGGAAGCCTTTGGAAGCCAGTACAATAAACAAGAGATGCTTTGCTGAGTGTTGACAGATCTATTGATTTCTCGACAATAAACATTCTAGGTTTTTAAGTGAAATACATTTATATATACTTTAAAAGGTGGCTAAATTTTAAAAGAACTGAACTGTGCAGACCAAAAAAAAAAGAAAAGCAGAGAAAAGGTAGATGAATGTCCACATCGGCCCTACTTTCCTCTACTTCAGGAGAGTGTTTTTAGGGGGTTGCTATCAGATACGTTTGAATCTGAGGCAGAGCAGTGGTTCCAAAAGGACACACTGAACAATCTGACTCCTCTTCTGTAGATATTAGCCCATGACAGTTGTGATAATGCAGCATGCTAACAGGGAGAAGAGGGCATCTGAGATGGGGGAAAGTATCTTCTCTGGGGGGGTGGGGCTGACCCTGATGTAGCAGTTAGCTGAGTGATCCACATGTCCAGAAACTGAGGGGCCTGCACACAGCTAGAGTTAGGGGATTGGAGCCTGCATGTTAGGAGATGAGTGTGGAGAACCAAAGGCTCCTTGTCAAACAGAGCTGTGCTCTGTCATAAAGCTAATTAAAATCACTATACATGCACTCCCATCCAATGCAACATGACCCTAATCCAGGGTCAACTGTTAATAGACGCACATTATGACAACACTATATATTAACAGTTTTCAACCCTCCTGGTGATTCAGAACCAGAGGTGACACATCTTAAAACTATGGAAAGACTGCAAACCTATAGGGCAGTGATTTTCAACTGGTGTACCTGGAAAATTTTTAAGGATCATCAATTATTTTCAAAAGAAGTTCAAAGCACAATAAGTATATTCTTTTTTTACTCTTTTTTTTTTTAATCAACATAATTTAAGTGTGCCGTGGAAGTTTAACTATAGGTTCAAGGGTGCTGTGAGATAGAAAAGGTTGAAAAACACTGCTCTAGGCCCTAGGAGAGTCTGACAAGTGAACAGGAAATGTTAATACCGTGTGGTGAGTGCTACGAGAAATTAGCCTTATAGAAAACTGGAGGGCGGATTGGAATGGAGGGGCAAACTTCAGGAGGACCAGAAGGTTTGGTATTTAAGATGAGAACTGAGGGGGTGAAGGTACTGTGTGGAAGGAAGGAGACCCCCCAGGAAGGAGACAAGGTCTAAGAAATACTCTTCATCCCAGGAACCAGGGCAGCACCTGTGGCTCAAAGGAGTAGGGCGCCAGCCCCATATAGCGGAAGTGATGGGTTTGAACCTGACCCATGCCAAAAACTTAAAAAAAAAAAAAAAACAAAACTCTTCAACCTAGGGACCAGAGCCTAAGTCTTTGGACTGCCTCTTGGCCTTTGTGGTGTTCATCTCGGAATCTCCAGCTCTAGGACAGTACTCAGCACACCGTGGGACTTAAAAGATTTTTACACCAAACAGATCCAAAACTCACTAGGTTACTGTTTCCAACTTTGAAACATTGCTTATATTCCAGGCTTATAATCAAAAATCCTTGTCTCTGTGGATCTTACATTCTGAAGTTTTATGCTCACATGTGGACAAAACTGGCTCTAACAGGACAGTGGTTCAACAATAATCCTCCACAGGAAGGTGACTAGAAAGGAGGTGCAGAAAACTGTCAACTAGGAAGGGATCTCAAAGGCACAGAGGGAAGGAAAATCTGAATCAGAGACCTCAGGAAAATTCTGACCAAAGGATCAAGAAGTAAAGAAAAGCCTTCTTACTTCTAAATGTGACTAAGGAAAACAGACCCGTATGGTAGAAAAGCAGAAAAGTGTAACAGCAGGAAAAGTACACTTTTTAAAAAATCATCTGTACATACAAACCACACAAGTAATTTAGGGGCCACTCCTTTTTGACTAGGGCACTGACATCCCTAAGAAACAGCAGCCCTGGCTGATATCTGCACTGTGACCTAAGACTTCTGCCCATAAACTGTGAGAGTTTAAGATGGTCTGAGTGGTACCCATAAAACCAAACACTTGTATTGCCAGGTACTATCTAAGCATGATCCATCTATTGCCCATGTAATCCTTTTAGCACTCTTTTGAGGTAAATCCAATTATTGGCCCCATTTTATAGATGTGTAAACTGAGAAGAAACACAGGTTAGGGAACTGGCCCGGTATCACAGAACTAGTGATGGTAGGGCTGGTGTCCTAAGGTGGGCAGTCTGGCTGAGAAGTCCCTGCTTTGACTACTATGCTCACAACCAGTCTTTTTTTCTAGATGGATGCTTAGATCTTGACTAAAAAAACAGTAATAATTCTGTTAATTTTTCACAATTATTTTCCTTGTGAAACGAAGGAATGGGGGAAAGGAAGACAATGAATTTGAGGGCACAGGTCTGGCATCATGTTTTCCCAAACCTCAAAGCACAGTGAGGACCCAAACTTCGTAGGCTGTTAATGGGATAAGTATTTATTCAAAGTGCATGGTGCACGTAGTTGGTGCACAATAAAGGTTTGTTTTCATCTCTTGGTAAAAAGCAAAATTAGGGCTAAGATTCTAATGACTTTTCAACTAGTGTTCCTTCTAATACACTACACAATCTGTTCCTGACTGGCGGCTACTCGGTAAATGGAAAAACGCAGCCATGGAAAATCCAAGTCCCAAAGCAGGTGGCTGTTCCCCACTCTCAACTAGTGCCCAGAACGTCGAAGCAGAGAAGTTCCAAGGCCGGGGACCAACAAGAACACCCCAGGACCCCCGGCCCCGCCCCTCCTCTGCACTGGAAACCGTTTCTCTAGTCCGATCTGGCACAAGCTGCCCCTCCTTCGTCTCTTTTCTTCCCCCGCTCAACCTCAGCTAAGGGCTGGGCTCCATAAGGCGGTCCCCGCGCACCGGGAGGAGCGGGGAATGCACACTTCCGCCCGCCCCGCCGGGGGAGGCCCAGGTCCCCGGAAGGGCCTGGCGACCGCCAGTCCCCGGAGGCCCTCACCGCCGCCCCAGCCCCGAGGAAACTCGAGCCCCGGCCGCCATGGAGGCAGCGCGCCGCGCGCCCCGGCAGCCCGCGCCACTCACCGGGGCGCTCTCGGGCAGGTTGTAGCGACACAGAGTGTGGTCCAGGTCGAAGCCGACCACGTCGCAGGCGGCCAGGGAGAAGTGCTGAGCCATGGCTGCTCGGAGACTACCGGATAGCGCCTCAGCCGGGAAGGGTGCGACGAGCGCGCGGGCCGGACGCGGCGGGACGGGACCCGCCTGGACGCCGCGGGACGGGGTGGGGCGGGGCTGCGGGCGCCCGGGGCCGGGCCCGCGGCCTGTCGCGCTTGCCGCGCCCTCTAGCGCCGCCCCTGGACACTCTTCGCAGCGGCCCGCGGCCCGGGTCTTCCGAATCGCTGCAGCCTCACGCCCGGACGCCCGCACCGGCTGCTCTTTCCCCTAGCCCGGGACTCCCCAAGGCAGGGGGTGACCCGGGAGCCGTGCCGCCGCTGCGCGCCTGGGGTCTCTTAGCAGGTAGCCCTTGCTAAGGTTTCCAACCAAATTGACTGCACTCAGAGCGCCCCGGAAACCAGACGATCATGAAGTTAGACCTGCCTTTTACCCTTGTGCGCAGAACAGTGTGAGATTATGTTCTTCCACTGGTCACCCTCGACCCAGTTAGCCTACGGTTTGATAAATCTTGCCCACGTGATCTCAGACAGTAGGTTAAACCGAAAATTTATATTTCCAGTTTCTTAAGTAGTAAAATGGAAAAGTAAACCTATCATCATTCCATGCTCTGGAGTACGTTAGAAAATAAAATTATTAGACATACCGAGGACCATTTTGCAAAATGACACTAAAGAAACCAGTATTGTTTATTTGATGATCCTATTTTTTTATGTATTGAATTTTTTTAATGAAGACATTAGAAACTTCGTAGAGATTATATAGAGAGCATACTGCTGAAGAAAGAATGTTTACAAACAGGTTTAAAGTTTATGGAATACAAAATGAGGCCTGGGCGGCTGTTCACACCTGTAATCCTAGCACTCTGGGAGGGGAGGCAGGACGAGCAACCGAGCCTGGAGTGGAGACCAGCCTCCCACCCCTTCTAATAAAAATAGAAAAATCAGCAGGTCCTGGCCCTTGCCTGTAATCCCAGCTACTCTGGAGGCTGAAGCAGGAGGATGGCTTAAGCCCAGGAATTTGAGATTGCAGTGAGCTGTGAAGAGAAAGACTGCTGCATACTCTCTGGGGCAAAAAAGTGAGTGACACCTTGCTCAGTTCTCTCAAGGATCGTGTGTAACTAGTGTCATTTTAGATACAGAGGAGAAAAGTGAATCCATCACATTCAATAGATGCTTTTAGAGATTCACTTCTCTCCATGATTCCCGGATGTGGAGGACTAATACTTTCAGATCTTTACAATACAGCTCCTCATCTAAAAAGGAAAATACAAATCTATTATCTTTATACTGCTTCTGTCTTAAACTTAAGGAACATTTTGTCTAATGGAAAAAACCGATAGACATGACATAATGAAACTATAATTGAGAATTACATTTAACCCTTACAAAAACTAATCTCTATGTGTCAAATAGACCAATCAGGTAACTAATGAAGAGCCATAGATAGTTGGATGGGGTAGGAGACACCTACACTTAGTGGACCCATTTAAATACATGGATGACTTGTTCCAGAATAGCCATTAAAAGTCCCAAACAAATCTCTCTGGAATAGGAGCAGGAAAGAATCCTCAGGAAGACTGAGCTTCTGTTCAGTGTTAACAGCCCAACAATCACATCTTTAACGTCTGTGAACCAAAAGAGAAAAAGCTGGATTGCCCCATAGCTCGTTGGCTGTGAGACATTGGCTCTTTGCTCCCTGTAATAGAGAGCTACCAAAATCAAACTCCCAGGTGGACTACACAGTGAAGGCCACTTGAGTCCCCGGAGGATATCTTGTTTTATAGTGGGAATAAGCACTTCCCTTAGTAATGTAAATGTCCTAGTACATTCATTGCCAGAGGGAAGACTGTAAAATTATTGCTTTTTATGACTCAGCAAAAAGTCCTCTCAGACAACCTCTTGAGTGTGCAGAACTGAAGATGGGGAGTTCACTGGGGATGAGGGGAGAGAAGGAACCTGGGGCACTTTTAACCAAAGAGAAGACCCTATGGTCGGCAACTCCCATGATGGAGGCCCTGGGACTGGAGCTGGCCCTTAGGCAGGTGTATTAACAATCATATCTACTTGCTGAATAACAACTTATATTTTTTATTAATACGTTCCTCATGCCTACCCAAAGAACCCTTGGGCCAGAAAGTCCACATGATTAACACTTTGTGGCAGAATTTTACAAGTTACTCAGTCCCTTCACCTGGAGGTTTGTATTTGTTTTTGTTTTGTTTTTTGCAGTTTTTTGGCCAGGGCCAGGCTTGAACTTGCCACCCCTGGTATATGGGGCCGGCGCCCTACTCTTTGAGCCACAGGCGCCACCCTGGAGGTTTGTATTTGTCTTTGAACCCCACTCACCTTTCCTACCTACTGCCTCAAACCACAGCCTAACTCCACTAAGAACACAGGGTGAGTCCCCTCTCTTCCCCCATTCCCCAAATGAGGACCCTGAGTTTAAATACAAACATTCCCTTTATTTGATTATTTATTTAATTGATTTGTTTTTGAGATGGAGTCTCACTTTTTTGCCCTTGGTACAGTGCCATGTTGTCTTACAGCTCACAGCAACCTCAAACTCTTGGGCTCAAGCTAGTCTCTTGTCTCAGCCTCCCCGGTAGAAGCTGGGAATACAGGTGCCTGGCAGGCTATTTTTTTGGAGCCGGGGCCTCGCTCTTTCTCAGGCTGGTCTCGAACCTGTGAGCTTAGGCAATCCACTCCTCTCAGCTTCCCAGTGTGCTAGGATTACAGGCATGAGCCACCACAACCAGCCTCAAACATTCACTTCTATTGTTTCATAAAGCTTACATTCAAATACAGATACTTCATTTTCCCTGCACATTAAACTTTCATCAAACTTACTGATAAAATACCACATCTCTTCTACTGTTACCTGAAAGTTCAATCTTCTACTTAGCTACCAATTAATTTTTTTTTCCTTTGTGCGATATGTTAAATGAAAGGTATAAGTAGGGGTACCCAGAGATGAGGCTGCAGCGGAGATGTTCAGGCCAGGTTTATTGAAACGAAAGGCTGACCCAGCCTGTGCAGTGCAAAGGTGACATCTGTGCACAAGGTCAGAGACCCCTTTTATATGGGGCTTTAAGAGGTGGGCAAATTCCACTACTTGCCTTGAAAGTTAGGGTCTTTGAGCCCAAACTTCTCTTTGTGTTTTTGTCTTAGGAGGAGAGGGGAAGGAGGAGGAATCAGTGTCATGAGCTGAATTGTGTCCCCAGCCAATTCATATATTTAAGTCCCAACCCTTAATGTGACTATGACTATATTTGGAGATAGGGCCTTTAAGGATGTGGTTAAGGCTGAATAAGGTCATAGGAACACCAATAGAATTAATAATCTTAGAAAAGAAAAAGATAGCAGAGTTTGTAAGCACAGGAAAAAGACCCTATGAGGAGCCACAAGAAGGTGGCTGTCTGCAAGCCAAGGAGAGGGAAACCGACCCTGACAGTACCTTGATCTTGGACTTCTTGCCTTCAGAAATGTGAGAAGATAATTTTTTGTTGTTTAAGCCACCCAGTGTTTAGTATTCTGTTAAAGCAACCTAAGCAGACTAAGATAGTCAATAATGAAAGCTGATAATAATATTCTGTTAAATGTAGCAAGCAAATAGTATTTGCCATTGAAGAGATCCCCTAAGGATCTTTGACATAATGTTATGTGTTGCATTTTAAATTTGCATACTTTTGCTTATATGTAATATTGATACCATGTTGTGACGTTTTAGTTTTTTATTTTTAGTATTCCATGTACTCTTATAACTAGGGAGTTACATAATAATTTAGAAATACTCACAGATAAGAAGTTATATTGCTGATTTTCTAGAATTAAATTTCATCATGTCAAGTGACCTGTCTTTTAATAAAGGTAATACTATAATTTAGAAACTTTTATCATAGGTGTGACTTTTACTTAATTTGTTATTAAAACTTTGTGATCCAATAACTTAAGGTTTAGACTCCATCATAACTCACTAAATAATCTTTTAGGAAATAATAGTGTATTTTAACATCTACATAGTAAATATTATTTGCTTGACTGTTAATTTGGGATAGGAGGAGAACGACCTGTTTATTTTTTCATTAGTTTAAAATGTGCTTTCCTAAATACTCCAAATTAAATATTATAATGTTCAATTTTTTATGTACCCTAAACTAATCTTCAGGCTTTCTCTGGCCCATATCATTCGTTTAAGAGGCAACAAGAAAGTTTATTTAAGAACTTGAAAACAATGAGGAAAAATACAGATGCCTAAAAATTAATCTTTATGGCTTTGAAATACATATGCATTAGCCATTTAGATAAACAGAAGCAGAAGCTGGTGTGTAATACTGCGCTGAGGACTTTAGATGGCAGTAGTTCTGCATTAGGAAAATGTTTCAAATTTTTAAATCAAATCTTTAAATATCTTAATACTCCCTTTTCTACTCTTCATTTCTATTTTTGCCACAAGAAGAGAAATCTACTTAGAAATGTCACTGTGTTTTTTGCATGTATATTTATTTTTGATGATGGAGAGGGAACGATAGGAGGGGACAAAGTGCTTCGGCAGAAAACTTCTTAGAAAGATTGTGTCTGGATAAAGAACCAGTATTTAAAATATGAAATGAGTTTCTCTTGGATAGAGCTAGAATATTAAATGGCAGAGTTGTTATTCAAAAGATCTCAAATGATGGAGCAATGCACAGTTGAAATTTAGTGAGAATAAGTATTAAGTTTTGCTTTAAGGTTCAAATAACCAACTTTAACAGAATATGATGGAGAACCTCGATTTACCAGTAGTTAAGTTGCAAATAAACTGTAGACAAACTCAAGGTAAACTCAGCAGTTATAGTTTAAACTGTGTCTCTTTGATTGACAACTTTGTCATACTTCCCTTTGCCTTTGGCTGTTCTTTTAGGAGTATGGGGCCTTTAAATTGTAGAAGGGCCGACATACTGAGGAGGTGTCTGAAAAGAGGATTTTTGTCCTTGGCTAATGGATGACTTTTCCTGAACTAGACCATCCGTGGTGATCTTTGGTTGCGTCAGGCCATACTGGCCACCCTGTCAATAACCATCCCTGCTATATAAACTCTGGAACACTCCTAGTTACCGTGATGTCAAAACAATGTTTAGTTTTGGTCCAAACCATAGCCATTTC